GCCCCACAGTAGCTACGGGCCTGTAACTGACACAAGGAGGAAAGTGTGGGCTGGCTCAGCTGAATATTGATTGAAGTACCACTGTTCCCACAGCTGCCTCAGTCCTGGAGCAGATGTCCATGGCGTAGTGCAGGGGTGTCGAACTCATTTGTTGTGAGGGCCAGATCTGACATAAATGAGACCTCGTTGGACCAGGCCATGTGTGTCATAAAATGTAATGCCATGTAGTGGAAATACAAACTTTATAAAGAACACAATTAAAGATTTTTTAAACTTTAAATAAAACATGCTTAAAACACTCTTGCAATATTTTGTTTATTTAAGTCTCTGACACCTCTTGCTCTGAATTATTACATTAACATGTCTGTGCTGCAGCAATCTTGAGTATGCTGTTCAGGTGTAAGCTGCAAAACTACTTTTGATTTATTGACATTCATTACAGAAATCTCATGCTCAGTGTTCTGAGCCTAGGATCCAGGTTAAAACATGAAATGGCTGGGCATTGTGAGATTTTGTAAATAAAGTGCTTTGTATGCTCGTCAAGAACATGAGAAAGCATCCTGACACAGCCTGAGGGTTATGCATTTGTTTACAAAACTATAGTCTTCCCCAGAGAAATAACTACAACTCCTATGAGGCAGTGCAAGAATAGAGAGACAGCAAAGGACAGTGTCAGCCTGCTATCTAGGAAGGCTAAGTTCAAAATCTACAAAGGAAATGTGCTGGGTGAACTTTGTCTGAACACACACTCTCAGCCTAATCCACCTCACTGGCTTGTTATTCCTCATCCAAATAGTTCACATTGCTTTTCTGCTGAGAAAGACTCGATCATGAGGGCACGAATACAGTGAAAAAGAGGAGGGGGACTCAGTTGCACCCAGGAGACCTGGCATAATGAGCCCAACAAAACACACCTTAGCAAGGCACACAAAAGCTCATACCTTGGATAAAACTTTGTTGGTCTTAAAGGTGCTTTGTATTTCTCCCATGCAATTGAGGCAGCTGAGCAAAGCAAGGCAGGAGGAAGGGGAGGAGTCTCAGCCAATGGAGGAGAAGAAAGGCTTACCTTTTTCTCCTGTGCAATTGTAGCAGCCTAGCCAGGAAGCAAGCCCTGGCTCGTTCCCTCCCTTCCCCTGGGAGGAGGAGGGGGAGAAGCCTCAGCCAGTGCAGGGAACGGAAGCTTGCCTATCTATCTCTCTTGTGCAACTGAGAACATCTGGTAAAGCAAGCTACAATGCAGCAGCAGCAGCAGAACTGGAGAAAGAAGAAAATAGCCAGTTCTTTGCGGGCCGGGTAGGAAACTTCTGAGGGCCTGATCCGACCCACGGGCCACATGTTTGACACCTCTGGCGCAGTGCTTTACAAACGTTGAGGGCGAAGACCACGTTGCTGCTTTGCAAATATCTTCTAGAGGCAGTGCCACCATAAAGGCTGCAGATGAGGCTTGTGCCATAGTGGAATGTGCTGAAATTGTGATGGGACACTCAATCCCAGCTTCCCTGTAAGCCACCAGAGGTGTCAAACCGGCCCTCAGAGGTTTCAAAAGTTATGGCTGCTGGCGGCAGTAGTAGCGGCAGCGGCCAGGGGGGAGGGGGACGAAACGTTCTCCCGCCTCTCTGAGGCCATCACATGCAAGAGGTGGAATTTGCCCCTAGGATTCCAAGGCAACCACCCCGGGGCTCAGAGAGGCGGGGAAACGTTTCGCACCACTCCCCCCCCAGCCGTTGCCACTGCCGTTACTGCTGCTGCCGCTGGCAGCCATAATGGCTGGTCGCCGCCACTCGGCCA